ACCTTAAAATGGCTATAGATTACTATTCAGCTGTCTTGTGTCTATTTTCATTGTAGTATTTAGCTTTTTATAGCGTTGAAGCATAATTTTGCTGAACCTGGCCTTTTTTTTTCTTTCGGGTAGTCTAGACTGGCTTATAACTCTTAACAAGACATATGTCAAGAGTTGAGGTGCAGAACAGCTTTAGAAGGGGTGTGCAGAGAAATCTTCAATACCCTAGTGAGGAGTAACTAATCTCTGTGTCCCACCTAGTAAGATATAAGTGAGCCCACGCTGACCATTTCCTGCCTGATTCTAGGCTTTCCTTGTTGTTGTCTGTCTATTCTAGATTTTTTGTTTGGTTGGTTGGTTATTTGTTTGTTTTGAGGGGTTTCTGGAGCAATCCTGATGGTCGTTGCAAGAGAGGGTGTGGACCCAAAGTTGGAACCAAGCGAGGACCAGAGAGAGCTTCCCTCACTAGTCCCGAGGGAAGTTTACTGTTCTGTTTCTGTGGACCGCTCAGGGCTCCTGGCTGTTGTTCTGATTCTCTTGGATCCTGCAAGGGAAGATTTGGACTTCTTCCATCCCATGTGGTTATTTCAAGTGGGAGTGGATGACCTCAGAGTTCTTGGCCTCCAAGGGTACTCCAATTCCCCGTGGTCTCCTTGGCAGTAGGGATGTAGTCCTTGGTGCCCGTACTGATAGTCCTTGGTGAGGATCCAGGAGTCTTCAGGGTTGTAATATAAGCCTCCTCCTGTCCCCCTGCTCCGCTCTGGGGTCCCCCCTTGCTCTTTGCATATGACTTCCTGTTAAGAGGTTGTCAGGATCACTCTTGATTCCCCCTACATGTCTTTGTAGTTTAACTATTGTCTAATTCTGATTCGAGTCTGTTGTCTATGAGTTACCAGTTATGTTCCTGGTAGGTTGTATTTCACGTCTACCTCACACATTCTAGGGAGATGGAAGATTTCTCTGCTCTCCTGCTCCAATATGGAATAACATAGGGTATTAATAGTATATTAGGTTTTACAGTTCTTTGCTGTAGATCATAAGCAGTCTGACTCACATTGATTGCTGGTTTATTGGTTATTTCACAATATCTTATTGCATGTGGGATAGGCTGTTTGAGGTTGAGATAATATTACATTTTACAGGTACTATTTTTTGGATTGACATCATTTCATCTTAAATTAAGGCAAACATGTGGTATTTAACCTTTTGGGATTGGCTCATTTCCCTTAGCATTTTGGTTTCCAGTTGGGCCCATTTGGCCACAAAGAACTACATTTTGTGTGTGTGTGTGTGTTTTAATAGCTGAGCAGTATTCCATGGAGTATATGAACCATAGCTTTCTTATCCAGTCTTCTGTTGATCGGCATTTTGGTTGCTTCCATGTTTTTGCAATTACTGATTGTGCTGCTATGAACATAGGGGTGCATGTTGGTTTCTTGTGAAACAGGTGTTTTGGATATATTCCTAGGAGTGCTATTGCTGGATCACATGGCATGCAGATTTTGAGTTGTTTGAGTGTTCTCCGTACTGATTTCCATAGAGGCTGTACCAACCTGCAGCCCCACCAGCAGTGGAGTAGGGTTCCCTTTTCTTCACATCCTCGCCAGCAAGTGTTGTTGGTTTCTTTTTTTTAATGTGGGCCAATCTTATTGGTGTTAGGTGGTACCTCATTGATGTCTTAAAATGGAATTCCCTTATTGCCAGGGAACTGGAGCATTTTTTCATGTGTGTGTTTGCCATTTGGGTTTGTTCCTTTGTGAAATATCTGCCCATTTCCTGTGCCCATTTCTTGAGTGTTTTGTTTGTTTTGGTGTTTTGGTTGTTCTGGAGATCTTTGTATATTCTGGAGATTAGCCCCGTATCACCTATGTAGTCTGCAAAGATCTTCTCCCATTCTGTGGTTTGCTTTTTTACTTTGTTGATTGTTTCCCTTGCTTTACAGAATCTTCTTAGCTTGATGAGGTCCCATTTGTTTATTTTGGTCTTGATTGCTATTGCTTTTGGTGTCCTTTTTAGGAAGTCAGGACCTACCCCTAGATCTTGCAGGGTGTTTCCAACATTTGCTTCCAAAAGTTTGAAGGTTTCTGGATGTAGGTTTAGGTCTTTTATCCATTTAGATTTGATCTTAGTGTATGGTGATAGATGTGGGTCTATCTTTTTGTTTTTGCAGGCTATCAACCAGTTGTCCCAACAGCATTTATTGAAGAGAACTTCCCATTTGCCTGGATTGTTGTTTGTCTTTTTGTCAAAGATTATTTGGCTGTATCTGTGTGGGTTCCCTTCTGGTGTTTCTATTCTGCTCCATTGATCCTCCTCTCTATCTTTGTGCCAGTACCAGGCTGTTTTGATAACGACACCCTATAGTATGTTCAGTGGTCCGGAACTGTGATTACCCCTGCTAATTTTGTATTGTTCAGGATGGTTCTAGCTATTTGTGGTTTTTTGTGTTTCCAGATGAACGTTTACATTATTTTTTTCCAGTTCTATGAAGAATGTTTTGGGTAATTGATTGAGATTGCATTGAATGTATATGTTGCTTTTGGTAGTATGGACCTTTTAATAATATTGAATTTGCCTATCCATGAGCATGAGCATGATATGTTTCTCCATGTTTTAAGATCTTCCTCAACTTCTTTTTAAAGTTTTTTGTAGTTTTCTTCAAAAAGAGGTCTCCTACAGTTTTAGTTAGATTTATTCCTAGATACTTCATACTTTTCTCTGTTATTTTGAATGGTATCTTGCTGGTTGTATCTTTTTCTATCTTGGTGCTGTTATTTGGAGGGTTACACAGGGAATAAAGCGGAATAGGGAGACAGAGAGAGAGAAAGGAAAGATAATTTTCTACCCTCTGTGTCACTCTCCAAAGGATCACAATGGCTGGAGCTTAAACCAATCTGAAGGCAAAAGCCAGAAGCTTCTTCTAAGTACCCTACATGAGTGTAGGGGTTCAAGCAATTTGGCCATTCTCTACTGCTTTTCCAGGCACTTTTGTAGGGAGCTAGATTACAGGTGGAGCAGCTGGAACTCCAACCAGAGACCTTATGGGATGCCAACACTGCAGATGATAGCTTTATCCAGTATGTTGTGGCATCCACCCCTATTCCTTCTTAAGATAAAATTGTGTTCCATTGTGTACACAAATCACATTTTCTTTACTCCATTAATGCATCAGTGAATTCTTTGCTATCTAAGGCAGCGATAAACATGACAGTGCAGCTCTTTGATGTTGCTTAATTGCCTTTGAATGTACCTGGTAACAGGAAATTTGAATGACATGTAGTTTATTTTTGGGGAAGCTCCATGTTCTTTTTTGTAGTAACTATGCTAGTATAGGGTCCAACAAACACAGTATTAGTTCCCTTTATTCTGCATCTTTGCTGGCATTTGTCATTTTTGTTTTGTCCTTTTGACATTAGCCATTCTGAGTGGGATGAAATTATAACTCATTGTGTTTTGTTTTACATTTTCCCTGGGATTAGTTATGTTGAGCATTTTTTTCCATGTGCTTTTTGGCCAATTTGTGTGTTGTATTTTGGGAATCAACTGTTCAGATCATTTGCCTATGATTAAACTGGATTATTTTCTGTGTTTGCTTCTGAGTCTAATATAAATTCTGGTTATCAATCACCTGTCAGGTGAGCAGTTTGCAAATATTTTCTGGTGTTGTTCCAGTTGTCAGTTTTTTCTGTTGCATATTTCCTTTGCTTTGCAAAAGCTTCTCACTTTTATTCACTTGCATCCATTTTGAATAGACTTTTGTACATTGTTAAAGGTAGATTTAGTTGAATCCCTCTTGCTATGTTCTATGAGGAAATATTTAATATAGTTATTTCTCAGGAGCCATGGGGCATTAGTTCCACGGTCAATCCCATCATCACAAATACCAAAATCAAGTTCCTTATATAAAATGATACAGTTTTGGCATATTACCTCTGCAAATATTCCTGAATATTTTAAATCACCAGTAATTGTTTATAAAATCTAGTATACTATAGATACTATGTATATAGTTTAGAGAATAATGACAGAAAGAAAATCTGTTCATGTTCAGTATAGACTTTTTTAACATTTTATTATTATTATTATCATCTTATGATACAGTTCCATAGGCTCCTGGCATTTCCCTTATCCCCTCCCCAAATCCTTCCCCCCACCTAGTTTCTCTATATCATTACTAAAATATAATTCTTCATACACAGTCATATGTCCATCATTGCGGGCATGGACAATGGCGGAGAGTCCAGCAGCCTATTGTCAAGATATAATGAATAGTTTCATTGTAAGTGCATCTTTGTCTGGAAGTGGAGATGCATACTACATTGTTTCCTCATGTCTGCATGTTAGTCTCCAGTAGGGACTTTTTTTTTAACTAAATATTTTCTACCTGCTTTGAAGAATTTATGGATATGGAGGAGTGACCATATCTATAAATGAATCTATCTTTAACCAATTTATATAGTATATTTCATCAATCATAGCATATATTTGTCTATAGTTGATAGTTCATAAAAACAGATTTGGGGCCCTGTGCCCTGGCCTAGTGGCTAAATCCTCACCTTGCACCCCCGTGATCCTATATTGGCACCAGTTTATGTACTGGCTGCTCCACTTCCCATCCAGCTCCCTACTTGTGGCCTGGAAAAGCAGTAGAGATGGCCCAAAGCCTTGGGACCCTGCACTCACGTGGAATACCCAGAAGAAGCTCCAAAATACATTTTTTTGAATCAGGTTTAGGAATGCTGCTCAGACTCTTAGCAAAGATTTTGAAAGCTGAATCCTTGAATATTATCCTATCAACTTATGTTTGCCTGTAAAAGTCTACTTTTCAAATGAAATGTAGATTTTTTTAAGGAGGAAAATTCCATTACTTCTCCTCTTTATTTTTACCAATATCCGCATAGAACCTATAAGACTCATTTAGGGCAATGGACAATAAAAATATATGAATGTATGTGTCACCTGAAAGTGTCACTTCACTTGGAGGGATCAATATTTCCATTTACCCGCAGAATCGAAGAGTTTGAAGAAGCTGTCAATTTCTTTACTGAGGCTCTCAAAATTAACCCACATTTCCTGGATGCTTACATTGGACGGGGCAATTCTTACATGGAGTATGATCAGGAAGAACACACCAAGCAAGCTCAGAAGGACTTTGTGACAGTGTTACATTTCAACCCAGCGTACACAAAAGCCAGAATTAGCTTAGGCTATAATTTACAGGTAATTGTGTACAACAATATTTCAAGTATTAGGTGTGTCTTTGCGCCCTAGAACCGTGTGTGTGTGTTCTTTTACTGGTGTGGGCAAGAGTGATATTTCTTTGGTTCTGAGCATTTACTTTCTCCTCAGTTTGAGTATCCAGTGGGAACAGAGGTTCACTTAGTTACAGTCTGGACCATTGTCAGATATGGTCTCCCCATTAAAGCAGGTGTTTTGTAGCTGTGATTTTTTTTTTAAATCTCTGTACCCTTCTGTTTATGAACAGCTTTTATAATTTGCTTGATGGAGTTTACACATAAAAGCCTGGATGACATTAGTTTCAGTAGCTTATATCTGGATTCCATAGGTTTCCATCTGTATTGAATTAGAGAAAAACTAACAGGAATAAGCAATGTATGAAGATATGTACATGTTCTCCAGCCGTGCACTGGATCAGGTGGACACTGTATAGAGACTTCTGAATTCAGTCACCAAATGGGAGTGAATTAGAGCTTACTGGAAAGGCTATCAGTCTTTCATCTTCCCAGAAAAATAGACAGGTGCTACTCCGTGTTGTTAAGCATATCTCCATGTGATTGCTGGGACACTTTGGCCTGACCCAATGAGCTGAAATTTAATAACTCACGGAACTATTTGCACTAGTAAAATGTGGAATAAAAATCTTGGGATAAAATATGAAATGTGCTATATATTCCTTGAAAAGGAACTGAGTAACCTTAAATCTTCTTTTTATCTTTTATTATTTTAAATGATAGACAAAAAGCATGTTCAAATTATTGTATTTTGGAGAAAATACTTTTAACAGTCTGCCATTAAAGCTGATGCTTTTGGGGGGATGCTTTCTGTTTTTAAAATAAGTGAGTTTTTATGACAAAGACTCATTATATTGAGGGTGACAAGATTCCCAATTATAGTGACACATGCCTCAAACCATTGGAGAAAATTGAGGTTGTCAAGATGTAAACACAAAATTAACCATTATTTAACCACAGTAGCAATTTATAAAGTCATTTTAAAGACATGAGGCGCCTCTCAAAGCACTCAGAGCTGACTGCAATCCAATGAAAAGTGTCAGCATCACCATTCCTTACTTTCAGCAGGCATTTTCCAAGCTGCTAATATAGAATGTGAACTGCTCAAAGCCTAGGGACATAGAAATGAATAAAAAAATACGCTCATATGACATATAATGACATTTTAATCAGCAGTAGGCCACAAATATGATTGTGGTCATCCAAAATTACATCATGCATTGATATAGTAGCTGTCTTAGTTTGTGTCAGTACGTTCTACGATCGTCTCTCAAAGATGAAATTATCTAATGACATATCTTCCAGAATATTAAGCTGAGGTATTTACTGTGATTATTTCATCTCATAAAATTTATCAAATAATTATTGGATAGCCAGGTATCAAACAATTACATGAATGATTATTTGATGATAATCATGGTAAGTGCAACAAAGAGAAAAATAGGTTTCTGCACAATTTACTACAAGAGAACTTAGCTGTGCTTGAAGGACAAGGGAGGATTTTCTGAGAAGCTAACATTTGAGATATAAACAGTCAGCTACTAGTCAATGGTAGGAACTGGTGTTCCACAGAGATAATAGTGCCTTAGAATGTTACTCAAGAAAGAGATCCAGGTAGATGACATTCATGGGAGAGCGGAGAGTGGTGTGTAGTCAGCAAGGACTAGTGTTGAAGGCATTGAGGGTTAAAAGGAGAGAAGCATTAATCAGAGAGGTGACATCCAATTTGCATTTAAGTCACTGAAAATGTGGTAACTTGAAAAGGCTAGGAAGGCACAGGAGTACAAAGGATCGAACCAGGAAAGGAAGAACTGAAGGAGAGATTGGGCCATGACAATGCTGTCCAGGGAAAAGTGACTATTTGTTCAGTAGCAATGATAAGACACTCCCTTGCTGATTTCCCAGCATTTTGGATTTAGACTTGAGTTCCACTGATGTTGTCAGGAACAAATGACAGATAAAAATCCTATTGTGAGGCTGTTTGCAGTTTAATAGTTCAATAATGCAAGTTCAGTTTGCCTGCTTCCTTGTTTATTCAGTGAACTTATCATGACAGTGTAGACTTTTAAATAGTTTATCCAAACAGAAAATATTTGTTAGTCAAAATGCAGGATCTAATTCACTAAATAGGTGTATTTATTTCTTTCTGGTTTGATGTGAAAGTCACTGGGCCATGCTTAGTGAAAGCAGGTGAGTTTCTGAGATTTCTGCAAGTTGAAGTTTGAACCCATGAGAAAAAGGACCGATCCCGATTGTTGAATTTACTGACTTTTGGTCTTCCTGGGGTTAGGTATTGAGCCAAAAGTTTGTTGTCATCTCTAGGAAATGTCCTTGCACTAGATAATTGCCAGTGTCCATCTCTTGACCTCTTTTCCTTTTCTAGTCGATGTTGTTTGGTATATGCAGATACTTGGTAGATTTACATGTATTTTGCATACAACACTAGAGTGATCCTCAAACTCCAAATGCTGGCATGACTTATTCATATGTGTCTTACATCATTACTTTATCCATTTATTTATTTGACACATATTTATGATTTGTAATCGTTTCTCAGCTTTTTGGCTAAGATCAAGTGTTGTGTTTATTATTTGTAACTGGAGATTCAATGCCTGCCGTCTGTGTGGATCTCAATGTGAATTTTTAAGCTATTGTCAAGTACTCGTGTTTCACATGCTGAGCATGAATTTATGTTATCCAGATTGGTAAAAGAGGTGACCTTGTGACTAACTTTATTTTAGTTAACTAAAATCTCATCATAACTATCCAGAATTAATTAGCAATTGAATGTATTAACAGTGTCATCAATGAGGGGGCCTCAAAAAATCATGGAAAATTGAGTCTCTTTTATGTTCATTTTCCAGCAAACTTCTTAAAGTTTGTCTCAGCCACACTTTGTTTAGGAACCTTACATTCTGCACAATATAAGCATATACTTAACAACAGTTTTATTGGATTAATAGAGTCATAAACGTTTGTCCTGTTATGAACTCTTTGTTACTCATCTGAAAATCACTTTAGGCCCAAGGAAAATTCCAGAAAGCTTGGAACCATTTTACCATTGCTCTAGAAGCCGATCCAAAGAGCTACCTAGCATATGAAGGAAGAGCTGTGGTCTGTCTTCAGATGGGTAATAATTTTGCTGCAATGCAAGATATTAATATAGCTATCAAGGTAAAAATCCACTTAGAAGACATTGTTGTTAGCATAAAGTAACAGCATCCATGAATAGGTTCAAGTAAGATGTTATCTTTTCAGCTTTTTGAAGGGACTGGTCGAGAATACAATGTTGTTGTTGTTGTTTTTTTCTGAGTGTTTCCTAGGAAAAGAAGTTATGACTTATGAATTTTATCATCTAAATATATTTAAAATAAACCCTGAGCTCTTCTCAGTAAGTGCAGTTTATAGTTTCATGTAACGTCAGCATTGTTTTGCAATACTAAATGAATGCACACAACAGAAAATAATGTTTCATTCACAGGATTTAAGAAGCTACGGAAACAATTTAAGCTCCAGATGCTTCCTGTAGCGAGGTGGTGAATAAATCTCATATTCTGAACTCAATGATGGGAACCCTTCTTTTAGTTTTTTTTCCCCCCTTTTTTTGCCATGCATTTGAGTAGATGATGTGATATTTAAAATGAGAAAAGGCAAAGAACTGGAAGATAATTACTGTTGCAGAGGCCAGAAAAGCATGTGAACTATTCAATTTAATTTCATCTCTATCTTAGTATAGTTCAACAGTTAAGTGTTTCCACCTTGTGTCTAGGCCTGGGAAATGAGCTGAGGAAGGCACGAAGGTTATTTGTTTTATTATAACCAAATCAACAAAGGGTTGACATTGAACCAACTCCATATTGAGTCTTTTCTCAAAATGTTTACTCTAATGGGATTTTCTTGCCCTGTAAAATCACTTGTTTCCCACAAGTAGATTTCATAATGTTCATTTCTGTAGACATGAAGCCAGCGGTAAATACCATGCCCAGGTGCTAAAAACTCACACTATATATTGCAGATCAATACCACAGCAGAGTACTTAACAAACCGTGGCGTGATTCATGAGTCGATGGGTCAACAACAGAATGCAATGAGGGACTATCAAACAGCCATTTCTCTGAACCCCGAGTACTCGCTGGCTTATTTTAATGCAGGAAATATCTACTTCCACCACAGGCAGTTTTCCCAGGTAACGTGAGTTCTCCTTTCACATTTCCTTTTTGACATTAAATGCTTGCTTTGCCTTATGTAATTTCAAAATGCAATCCTTACAACCTGACTAATAAATCATTAGTTCTCTTTTTAAGGGTGTGTTTTCTTTCATAAGAATGTTGTTATGCATGAATGCTTACACCTCAATGCATTTGTTCTGTTCCCTGGGTATCGTCAGCGTGTCACCACTTAAGCAGTGAACATGCGTCCGTCCCTGCCACATGTCAGCACCTGCCTTGGTGTCTCCATTGACAGCAGCTTCCCCTTTGGAGTCCTCCACAGGTGCTTTCCTCTTGGACTTTGTTCTGGGCTTTCCTTATGATTGTCTGGTACACCTGGGTTTAGACTCTGCAACTTAACCATGTGGGCACTTCACTGAGAGGAGGCTTGGATTTCAGCTACTCTTTGAGCTTTTTCAATCTTGATTAATAATGTCTGAAAAAGTATTGGGTTATAGATGATGCTGTCTCTTTCGTGAATTTTGTTTGATTTGTGCATTTGCATGATTCAAATTCTTTAAGAGTTTTACTTTGCAGGGGCCCGGCGCGGTGGCGCAAGTGGTTAAAGGTCCTCGCCTTGCACGCCCGGGATCCCATATGGGCGCCGGTTCTAATCCCGGCGGCCCCGCTTCCCTTCCAGCTCCCTGCCTGTGGCCTGGGAAAGCAGTCGAGGACGGCCCAAAGCTTTGGGAACCTGCACCCGCGTGGGAGACCCGGGGGAGGCTCCTGGCTTCGGACCGGCATAGCATCGGCCGTTGTGCTCACTTGGGGAGTGAATCATCTGACGGAGGATCTTCCTCTCTGTCTCTCCTCTCTGTATATCCGCCTTTCCAATGAAAAAATAATAAAAATAAATCTTTTAAAAAAAAAGTTTTACTTTGCATAGTTATTCTTTATTCTGCTTTCCTTTGCTTAGTCTTATTTTTGGTTTGACTTTGTTAGTTGGAATCTTACTTCTTTTACTGCTACTCTGTCATTGATATTGAAGTAAATTTTTGAGATTCTAGCTTTTTCCTCACAGGTATTTTGGTCTAGAAGTATTTTTTTTTTTTTTGGCCAATCTTGGATACAATGTAAAAAACATAAAATTTCCCATCTTAACCATTTTATACTTAATGGCTCAGTAGTATTGCTTATATTCTTTAATGGTTTTATTAAAGATTCCCCAGAAGTTGTGTCTGTATTTTGTATTTCTCCTTTGATCTAGGTATAAATTAATAGGGCATTTTTAATTTTGTAAAAAGATTTATTTATTTTTTATTGGAAAGTTAGATTTGCAGGGAGAAGGAGAGGCAGAGAGGAAGATCTTCTGTCCATTGATTCACTCCCCAAGTAGTTGCAACGGCTGGAGCTGAGCTGATATGAAACCAGGAGCCAGGAGCCTCCTCTGGATCTCCCACGCTGGTGCAGGGTCCCAAGGCTTTGGACCATCCTCTACTGCTTTCCCAGGCCACAAGTAGGGAGTTGGATAGGAAGTGGAGCTGCCGGGATTAGAACCAGCGCCCATATGGGATCCCGACATGTTGAGTGCAAGGTGAGGGCATGTGTGTGTGTGTGTGTGTGTGTGTGTGTGTGTGTGTGTGTGTGTTTTGGAATTAAACTAAAATACATTTTTTAAATTATTTAAACAAAATTTTATTTTTCCTGTTACAGTTCCATAGGCCCAGGGACTTTCCCTTCCCCCCGCTCCTCCATACTGTTTCCCCTAAATCATTACATTAGTGTAGTCCTTCAGCAACAGTCACACCTTGACAATAGCACGCTAGACTACCATCGTTTATACCTATAATGTCGTGCTACACTTACACAGCAGAATTTATTGAATTTTAATGTGGTCTAGTATAATATCTAAAAAATATATTTCAGAGTCTTTCCAAAGAAGGGCTTCTACCATCAGAATACAGAATTAAATCTGTATTTATGAAGTATACCTTAATGACTACCCATGCCTGTCTTCTTCCGGCTTATCTTAGACCAGGGAAGTATTGTCAGTGTGTTTTCCTGTATGTTTTTCCTTGTGTCTCTTGCAGTGTCTTGCTTTCTGGATATTGCTGCCGCATTATCTCGTGGACATTGTTTGCAATTATATACACACACTGCGAGCTGTATCCTGCAGCACTACAAGCGCCCTTGTTATTGTTATTTTTCCTTATTATTATTGTTGCATCATTTAATGCTCTTTGGAATAAATTTTATTTTGTGTGATGTGAAAATTGTGACTTCATATTTCTCTTTCATTTTGCTTGATATTGTTTTGCTTTCCTTTTTATTGTAAAATCCCTTGTTTATGATATGCCTCTTTTATACTGCATGCAAGTTGATTTTACTTTGAGAATTAATTTGAAAATATTTTTGTTGTAATAGATGAGTTAACCCTGTTTGCATTTTGACACGTTCAGTATGCTTGTTCTTGGTTCCATTATTTTATGTAATATGGTATATATTTCTATGTGTGCTTTTTAAAAAGTGTTTCCCTCTGTAGTCTGTTTTATTTGATTTTTTTCCCCAGAGGTTTTCTGAGGTATGAAAAAAGACTTATAGTCTTGCGTTAGTGATGACTTTCATGAAAACACCTTCAGTATCCATGATTCCTTATTTCTTTAGTTTTTTCCACTGTGAACAACAGAATTACCTCCTTCATTCCTCCCTGTCACCGTTATTCAGTTTTAGTCTCCTCTTTTTCAGAAAAATGTGTGTGCTAGTATTTTCCCATGTTTGTGTTTTTTAATCAGCTTGTACATCAGCTCACTTCCCTTCGTCTCCTGTGTGTGTGTGTGTGTGTGTGTGTGAATTTCATTATTCTCATACTGCCAGATAATTTACTACTGTATGCTCTTTTGTGTTATTAGTACACACATTCGTTTTACTCTTGCAGTTCAATATATGCAGTCCTCATCACCGGCCTTTTAATTAAATAAATATGTCTATATCTATGTCTATGTCTGTCTTGCCTGATCCCCTCCAGCCAAACATTTCTTGGTTGTCTGATTAGACCTTGGTAGAATCTTAAGGAAGACTTGTGAGAGCAAGATCACTTGACTTTTTTGATGTTAGTAGTTGTTTGCCTTTCTACCTTAAGACAGTGGGTTTCCTTGACTTAGAATGACGCATTGTTTTCTTTCCTTACCCTGTGAGTATGCATCCGTTTTTCTTCAATACTTCCCAAACTTCCAAGATGTTGCACTCATTTTAAAAAGTTCATCTTACAGTTGACATTTTTGAAGCCTCTCACCTGTGTAATATCCTTGATCATCACCATACCTCTTAAATAAAGTGATATTTGAGGCACCTTCCTTTTTTTTTTTTGTAAATTGCAGTCAGATTTACAGAGAGAAGGAGATATAAAGAGAAAGATCTTCCTTTCACTAGTTCACGCTCCATGTGGCTGCAATGACCAGGGCTGAGCCGATCTGAAGCCAGCTGCCAAGGGTTTCTTCTGGGTCTCCCATGCTGGTGCAGGGTCCCAAGGCTTTGGGCCGTCCTCTACTGCTTTCCCAGGCCACATGCAGGGAGCTGGATGGGAAGTGGAGCAGCTGGGATTCGATCCATCATCCATATGGGATCCTGGCAGATGCAAGGTGAGGACTTAGCCACTATGCTATCATTCTGGACCCAAGGGGCACCATCCTATACTGTTCTGGCTTTTTCTGGGCAAGTGGAACCTCCATTTCCTGATGCCATTTCACTCTTCAGTCATTCAGTCCCAACATATTTTTCACATAAGATGACTCCGAGGACGCAGTGGTGGATAAGCCAGGACGGGCTCAGTTTGCTCACATTTTATCAGAGAAGAACACAAGAATGTTGTGAAGCAGAAATTATTAAGGAGTAACAAATGCCTACAACTGTCCCATAAACGCATTGTCCTGTCAGTGTCAGCCCAGTGTGCCCCTGAGTGCAGTTTCCTCGATAGAGTGCAGAGGTTAATTGAAGGAACAAGTCCGGGTGACAGTGCCAGAATTTAACAGGGAAGGAAAGAGAGAATGTTGGAAAGAACACAGAGAAGGGAATACTGAGTCTGGGTGATGGCAAGAACAGTAGGATGGTTTCTTTTCATCCAGAAAATAGAGGTGCTATGTGTCAAATGCTGCTAAGGAGTCAGGTTCAGAGGACAGAGGAGCAGTGCTGACAGCATGAGTGGAAGGTTGTGGAGAAAACTTGAGGTAAGCAAACAGAGACCAATGTTGATCACAAATAACTGGTTTAAGAAATTTTTTTTTGTTGGAGCTGGTGTGACACAGTGGTTCAGGCTACCCCTTGCAATGTTGGCATCTAATATTGGAGTACAAGTCAAAATCCAGTTGCCCTGCTTCGAAAAGGCACCAACGAAAGATGACCAAGTACTTGGGTTGCTGCCACACACATAGAACCCAGAGGGAGTGCCCAACTCCTGAGTTCAGTGTGATCAGCCCTGGCCAGAGTGGCCACTACAGGAGTGAATGGAGGGAGCACGTAAGTCTCTCTCCTACTCTGTCACTCTTTCTTTGAAATCAATAAATGTCCTTAAAAGACAACCAAAACTCTTGTGTGAAGACTAGTAGCTAAATCAAGATGATAGCTTGAGTGGGTTTAGAGGGTCAAGGTTTTATCTTTTTTTTTTTTTGAATTTTTAAGACAAGTGAAACTGATTCATGCTCCCATGTGTTAAAGCAAAGAACCTGCTAAAACCATAGAAGCAGTTTGCACAGGTGAGTCTGACAGGGATAATCAGAATAAAATGTCTTCTATCTTGATGTTAGATGCTGCAGGACACACTCTCTATCATGTCATGGTGGGTGACAGAAGGTTTGGGCACAGCTTAATCTAGACAGCTACATGTTGGAGGTAGGGATTCCTATCTAGCAATGATAACATCTCCTTCCTGAAATCTGTCAGTCACCATTTCAGAGTGGAGGCAAACCATGGCTAGGAGTTTTGAAGAGAAAAGAAAAGGCATGAAGCCATTGTGCCCGAGTGTGGTCGGGTATACACACAAGAGTGTGGTACCAATGTTAGGTCCTCGTTTGAGGTTGGCAACTAGGAATTTCAGAAGGGACCTTGGCTCTTCATTGCTTTCTGTGTAATTCTGCCTGCACTGATGAAGGCTGCTCTGTGTCCTGCTATAGTTATTTCTGTATTGGTCCCATGTCTCCTCCACCCAATAGACTGTAAGCCTTGTAGGGGCAGGAGTCATACTTTATTTACATTTTCTTGTCTAAAAAATCAATTTAATGCCATGGTTTAAACTATTTGCCTATATATATATAATTTTCATAAGCTCCCAAGTCACACTTATCTTCAGCTGTGTTAAAGTCAAACCACAGTGGGTCTCTGCATCCTCCGATTCTGGGCAGCTTTCCATGAGTCTGCTCTGAGTCTACCATGTGGTCTAGCAAAGTCACCCGAGTGAAACAGAGTTAGAATTTTCGCTGCCTTTCTTCCTTTTTAAAATCAGTCACAACATCTTGTCAGTTGAACCTTTTGTCCCCTTCCAATATGTTCCTTGCATTCTGTTTAACAATCATTACAATCATTTAACAATCAAACAATCAAACAATCATTTAACAACCCATTAGGGTTGGTCCTTAATCTTTCCCAAGTTAGTGCTTGACCCCTAACAGCTTGTCCCATAGTCAGCCTGGTTAACCTCTTGGTAAGCTAGATTCCGGGGCATGGATGAGATTGTCCTTGCTCAGATCTGCATGGACATGTAGGAGGCTGAAATTCAAGGTCAGTTGTCTTAAACTTAACCTCAGACCACTGTTTGGCTCTGAATTCAACAAAATTTCTTTGCACCGAAAGTTAGTTAATGAAAAATTTTTAAATTAATTACATTGCATTATGTGACACAGTTTTATAGGTTAATGAAATTAGTTAATGAAATTAGAATGAGTTAACTACTCAGGAGTATTGTTATTTGCTTGCTGAGGCATTTAAGGTCTGCATGGGAGAGAGACATTCACTTCTTAAGTCTGTCTGTCTTTAATAATTCTGTGGATATTATGTACAAATTTTGGGTTAGATCTAAAATGTAGGCTAAACTTTCTAAAGTAAAAGGATATGGCCTGATTCAGTCCCACTTTGCAGACTCATGTTCTGAACAAACATGTCCTCTAGAATTTGCTGCATCCTCTGTCCTGACAGACTGGATGCTTGAGCGTAACTGTGCACGTGGATGCCCTCCAGAGACAAGTGATTTTAGGACACGCTGTTTTGTGATTCTCTTACAATCTGAGCTACTCTTTCTGGTCCCATTGCTTCTCTGTCTTATACCCTGTAATTGATACTGGAAGGATGATTTAAGTCGAGTTGGAAGGGTCCTTCAACAAATTCAGTGATCTCTAGAGTGTTAAAACGTGTGTGCTCTGACTTATCGACAATGAGTAGTTTGCATGAGCTATTTGCATGCTTTATAAACTACAGGTGATTAGAAAACTTGGGTCCGCTGTGTAATTAAAGCATTTATTCCAGATATGAAGACATTAGACCAATGTAAAAATCAAGCCCCTAATCACCTTATAACTAATATTTCTGTACTTGAAGTAACCTCATTAAACTTTAAAATTTTCATTTTCTAGATAACATATTTTGTAAGCTGTAGCAGAAAGTTACATAGTTCAAAGTTGGACTCAGTACTGGTATTTTACTGAGTTCTTTTTCCCTAGCTAGGGTAGAGTGTGCTATTTTTTTCCCCACATGATTAAAGTCTTACTTTTGTGTTGCGTAATGATATTGCCTTTACTCATCATTACTGGTGAAAAGAAAGAATCGCAAATTACTTTTTAAAGAAAGTCTTGATTCCTTTGGGGAGTCATTCCTTTGCCTCATTTCTGTTGACTGTAAATGCCACGTTCTATGCTAAAAGACAATAAAAGTGAAGGACTGTTCTAGTCTCATCAAAACACTGTGGACATTACTTGTCATTTCCCTTACTTCCCATGCTTACCCCATTGCAGACCTGTAACAAATGGTCCTTTAATCAAGGACCCCAGCACTGATCTGTAGATTGTGTTTTATTGGCCCCTTACAGGTTGATACTGTATTATGAATTGTCATAGTATTTGATTATCTTTCCTTTCTCTTTTATTTTTCTATTGTTTTTCATAATATAACTGAGATAGTAAGCCCATTGTGTCCAAATTTTTGAAAATTCATTTGTCAATTCAATTTTTATTTTGTTACATGCAAAATATTACCCAAATTTGTATTTTATCTTTCAGTCATGGTCTTCTAACTTATGATTGCCTCTTATTAGTTTTTTTTTCACAGAAGACTTATTTTATTTATTTGAATAGTAAAGTGACAGAAAGGTGGATGGTGGAGAGAGGGAGGGAGAAGAGAAATCTTTCATCTACTGATTCACTTCCCAAATGCCTGCCTTGGACAGAGGTAGGCCAGGCTGAAGCCAAGAACCAGGAACTTCATCTGGGTCTCCCACGTGGTGACAGAGTCCCCAGGCACTTGATCCATCTTCCTTTCCAGGCATGTTAGCAAGAAGGTGTATCTGAAGTGGAGGAACTGGAATGGAACCTGGTTCTTTGACATAGGACTATGACATTGTAGGCAGTAACTTAACCATTGCATTTTAATGTTGGCTTTGCCTCTATTTTTTTTTCAAAGTACTGCACTGGGCTACAGGATTTGGTTAGCAGGTACTGGGAGCGTTTCACTCTAACAGGAAAAAGTATTATGTCACTGACATGTGTTTAAAATGTACAACATATGGCAATAACTTTGATGGATTCCATCACCATTGCTTTAACCTCCTCTATATCCGGGATGAAATGCTTCTGCTGCCTCCTAAGTAGACCATAAGCCTCAGTTTTAAAATAAGAGTGAAAATGCTAGAAACTTCTGTAGAGCTGTTAATTACAATATATTCAAATTATCATATTTTTACACTTTCTAGGCCAGAGACTACTTCTCAAAGGCTTTAAAATTTGATCCGGAAAACGAATATGCTCGCATGAATCGAGCTGTTGCTCATACATTATTAAAGAACTACGAAGGAGCAAAAGAAGATTTTGCATGTGTAATTGACAGCTGTCCTTCATGGGCTGCAATATATTTCAATAGAGCACATTTATACTGCTGTTTAAAGCAATATGAACTTGCAGAGGTGGATCTTAATAAAGGTATATTTTTAGTAATTATTTGGTACAGTTATAGCAATTGATGTGTTTTTTGATTTATAAAAAAGAAAAGGATCATGTATATTAGTCTACATAAATTTGATGTATTTATATATCATACACCTCATATAAATAATACATATTTCTTTATGTAATAGCTTAATAAGCTTTAGTAAGCTTAGATATAGAGAATTCTTAAGAAACAGTACAGAAGCAGGGCCAGCTTTCAAAGAAAGATGTTGTACTATGTTTCTTTAAGTTAGTTTCCCTGCAAAAGGATGTGGTTTTTAATTTAACTAGTTACCTTTGAAGAACATGTTTTAAAATAAGTAGCACTGAAGTTATTATAAAATTTCTATCTTTAAAAAATGAGACTCTTTTTCAGTGTTCGTATAAACATATCTTGAATTCATTTTCTTCTGCAGCCCTATCTTTGAAGCCTAATGATGCTCTCATATATAATCTTAGAGCAGAAGTTCGTGGTAAAATCGGTCTGATTGAGGAAGCTGTGGCTGATTATAACCTTGCACTTGATCTGGAAGAAGGTGCCTCAGTCAAATGATCGCATAGACCATGGTTTCTGCAGTAACGTACACAACTGCTATTCTTGAAAATGGGATGTGTTTTTTGTTTTAAAGTTTGCAGCATCTTCATTATTATACTGATTATCTTGATCATCTATGTTTTAAGACATTTAAATAAAATGTTATAGGTTATAAAATGTTTAGATGACTTTCTACATAGTTTCAATACTTCAATAATTTTGTTCACAAGATGTTAAATTTAAATGAGAATGCCTCTATTAACTTTTTAAAAATACTTTCTTGACATTAAAATGATTTCCTTAGAAATAACACTATTTGACTATAGAAAAAGTGTTATTAACTTTTTGTCAATCCTGACTTGCAATATATTCAACAATATGAAGATTATGAAATTACAAAGTTAAATATGGAACTGAAGACTTTGAAGAAGTTAAAAGTGCATTTCCTAACTCCTTTTAAAAACAATGATCATACAGTATTCTTCCTGCTACCAGTATTCTTCCAGCAGATAAACACGCTGCTCTTTTTTTTTTGCATTACCTGCCTGCTGGGGCTGTGTCTATAAAGACACTGAGCATCCCGTTTCTTTGCGATAGTCCTTTGCCTCTTTATTGCAGGTTTCATAATATATGTGTATGTGTGAGTGTATATGTGTGTGTGTGTGATTAATAATTAATGCTCATAGCAGTGGGCCAATAAAAAATGAACTGAAATAGCAAACAGACCTTTATAAAATGTGTCTGAGAGGTCCCAGAATGTACCAGAGGACCCCTGTCCTCTGCCTGTCTTATTCTGAATTAGTTTATGTTTGTTCCTCAAGGTTTGTCTTTTTTTTCTTTCTTGACTTTGTTCTTCCAGCTCCTAAAAGACCTGTTTTTGCAGCCGTTAGGCATTTTGGGGAAGAATACTTCTGTCTGCTCAGCTGCCTTTGCTTTTAGTTTAACACCCTGGCTTTTCACAGCAGGAAGTTGGTTCCAGTTGGTAAACCACTATGAGGGTGCATCCCGCCATTTCAGGAGAATCTTTTTGGCATTGCTAGTTGGGTTCACACGAGGCTTGGCACATCCAGAGTGAATGATTTCAGTTGGCAAGTCTGAAACGGGGTCAGAACCTCTTATCTTTACTTGTATCTGTCCCCTTTGCCACAGCCAGTCACAGGTGGGCTTCATACAAATTGCGGGAGCCCACGGCTGGCTTCTTTCCTCCTCTCTATGTGACACATCCTTAAACAAATACCTTGGGCTCCTCTGTAAACCCTGAGGTGTTGAAGCACTGTAGGAGTCTCACTGCCCATTCATGTGTGTCATAGATATAAAAGCCCAAGTCCCCAGATACTTAGTTTACTTAGGCTGCAATTGAATAATTTAAATAATTGAAATAAAATAAATACATGAAATAAAATAATTTGAGTAATGATGTTGGTCTGAGACTCTATGATCTGCTGCATTTCCCTCCTCCAGGGCCAGCCCTCAAGAGTCGTGCTTCTTGGATGGCTCTTCTGCTTCCCTGGAGCCCACAGTTTCCATGTCCCATTCTTGACTTCCCAGCTCTGTCATTATGGTGGAGCAGGATCGTCCACTTTTGCTTTGTTCTTATTTTTTGCATTGTTTATTGTTACTATTATTATCCATGATACAACTGGAGCCCCCATCTAGGCTTTCAAAGGGACACTGTGAACACTCGTTTCTTTACCTAAAATTCAATTCTTCAAATAACTAGAGAAGCTTCTCCTCTCTGTAATTTAACTTCCACTGATATTGTTGTATTTCTCAGACATTTTCACATTAATTCAGAGTTCTACTTCTTGTTCTTCAAGGATGAAGTATCTTTTCCACAATGAGGTATTTATATAGTTACTAAGATAATAAAAATTCTAGCACTCAGCTGGAGCTGAGCCAATCTGACACTAAGAGCCAGGAGCTTCTTACTGGTCTCCCACATGGGTGCAAGGTCCCATGGCTTTGGTCCATCTACCCTGTGTTGATTTCCCAGGCCACAGGCAGGGAGCTGGATGAGAAGTGGAGCATCTGGGACACAAACCAGTGCCCATATGGGATCCCAGTGCTTGCACTGGGGAGAATTAGCCAGTTGAACCATTGTGCTGGGCCCTAATTGGATTTTTTAATGGAAGGAATTCATTGAAATGTGTAACTATCTAAAATCAAATCTTTGAGGTAGACACTGGCTTAGTGGTTGGGTTGCCCTGTCTTTTATCAAAGCTCCTAATTCGATGCCTGGTTGGTTCTGGCTTTTGACTCTGGCTTCCTGCTAATACTGACCTTGGGAAACAGAAGTAGTGACTCAAGTATTTGTGTATCCACTGCCCATGCAGTAGAACTGGACTGATACTGAATTGAGTTCTCAGCTCTCAGCTTTCACAAGACCGAGTTCTGGCCATGTGTCTGCCATTGTATGAATTATAATCATCTTTTAAAAAGTTTTCCTTGTTCTACCTGGAACCTCTTTTTAAGGAAACATTGTACTTCAGAGTATTATTGTTTGATTCGTGCAACTAGAGACTAAACAGAATGGAGAGAAAAATGTCTCATACCCATTGAGATGGATGAGGGGTAGAATGAAGCATAGGGCCCAACATTGTGGCACAGCAGGCTAATTTACTACCTGTGTCCTGGAATCTTATATAGAAGTGTTGGCGAGAGCCCAGGCTGGTCCACTGCTGATCCAGCTCCCTGATAATGAACCCAGAAAAGCAGCAGATGACTCAAATGCTTGCATCCCTGCTATCCATGTGAGATACCCCTATGGAGTTCTAGGTTCCTTGGCTTTTGCCTGGCCTATCCCTGGCTTGTTTCAGCCATTTGAGGGAATGAACCAGTGCATAAAATATTCCTTCTGTCTCCCTCTGTGTCACTCTACCACTAAAATATATAAAATAAACCTTAAAAACAAACAAACAAAAAAACTGTTGGAAATGTGTAGACAATTGGATGCTGGACTGTCTGACATTGTCTGTGCCAGCAATGTCGGGGTACACTTAAACTACAGACTGATGGACTCCTTATGAAGGATTATATTATTATAGCAATGTGGGAAAAATCTGTCGGGGTGGGAGTCTGGGGGGAAATCTCAGTCTCTACAAAATTGTACCATAAAATTCAAAAATCCACAATAAAAATTTAACATAAAATAGTAAAACAACTAAAACAAGATTAAAGTAGAATTGAAACATTAAGAACCACTCCCCCCCACCAAAAAAAACCACACACACAAGAAACAAGGAGCATAAGCTGATTGATGCCTGGGCTTGCAGGTCAGAGTCAAAAATAATAAGCTTACACTGTTAGGGTTCTGATTTATATTCTGGGCATGTTAAAACAGTAAGATCTTACTCTCAGAAGTTCTCCAAAGGCATAAGGACATTTTACTAATTAAGGTCTTAGAATCACTGATCTCCAAAAATAACAGAATCTTTAATTAGCATCCTCCGGTGTAAATCCAAAGGCTAGCAACTGGTGTCCAAAGTAGGAGCCAAGTGTATTCTGCTTTCAAAGACGGATACAGAGTCATCCTAGATGTTTAGTCTCTTCAGACCTCAAGCCACTTGATGTGGTGCACACACTGAGGTGAGGTCTTACCACCTACCTACGCTACTTGGACTCACATGCTAATCTCATTTGGGATTACCTTCACACATACATCCAAAATTAAGCTTTTTCTGGTTTCCAGATATTCATTAATTCAGTTATGCTGACTCCATAAAATTACCATGACAGTAGGCATTTCACAAACCTATTGTTTAGGATATTCAATCAGAATCTTATGTCCCCATGCATTTTACTGTTTCCCAGGAAGTATACTGTAAATTCTAGGCAATCCCAGATTCTTCAAAGATGAGAACTAAGGCAACATGCTTATCTCTGGTGTTTTTCTGACTTAAAGTTTCTTATGACTAGAGAGCTTCTCAGCATTCACACAGCTTTCTCTGTCCCCAACACACACACACACACACACACACACACACACACACACGGAGCAGCAGCAGCATCACACGAAGTGATGTACTTTCAAAAATGAATTTAAGAAAAATCTGGACACTGAAGTGTATCTATTGTTAAAAAATTACCTCCCCTGATGATTGGTCAACAAGGAAGTGAGTGAAAATAGATATCTATCAAGATGATGTAACATCTGGCGTAATGAGGTATCAACATCTCAAGATAATCACTGTCTTTACAATTGGATGCTGACACAATCAGTTATAACCCAATTGAACATAGTGTAAAAGAGACCAGAACATATTATTGATTACTAATATTTCTTTTAAAATTGCACTAGCAGATGGCACATGGTGTGCGATGAATCTAGAAAAGGGGTAAGAAGTGGCAGGGCGCAAACATTTATGTGAATTTTCCTTGCTCTGCCAATGGCTGTTCTAAGCATTAGAAGAATTATGATCTTTTGACTTCTTATTGACTGACGAATTCCCACAAAGTAACAGGAACAAACCATTGCCATGCTTCGAATCCACTAAACCATTAAGACTACCCAATAGCTTCTTTTCCTTGCTCTGTAAAAGAAAATTTTTGGCGAGAATTTCATTTTTCAAATGGACATGCAAGCAATGGTATAGGAAGCTCAGAGCCTATTATAAAAATCATACAGATTCATAACATTATCATATCTTCACTGAAATCTTGAAAGATTTTGTACACCAGCCTTTGACACTGAATCCAAATAGTATAGAGTTTGTTGGGAGAAGGTCCATGGAGGTCTACCTGACTCTTGGTTTGACATTTTTTTTTCTTTTGAAATTTCTGTGTTCTCTGGTTTATTGATATTTAAAATCATTACACACACACACACACACACACACACCTTGTTTAATATAAAATTATCTCCTTTTCCCTCATCCCCAAGTTAAACATCTTGCTGGAGGCACCATTTAAGACGGCAAAATGTTCACATTGCCTTGTTTGCTGGGTGACTATGAGGACTCTGAGCTAATCTGACAAGGCAAGTCCTTCTGCCGTTCTGTTGGGTCAGATAGACCCTGCCCATGGAGCATCGCATGCTGATTTTGCACCACGATCCTCTTCTAGGATACACACACACACACACACACACACACACACACACACACACACGCACGTTTCTATGTGCTCTTCCGTAACACTTCTAAAACAATCATAGTCAACTAAATTTCCAATA